ATTATAGCACCTTGCAAAAGATATGACCCTATAATTTATGCAATGATGATCGAAGAAAATTTTTGAATTCTAATTTGGCTTGAAATGGTAAAATTCTTAATGTTAAAATTTATGCCGTATAATACTGCTTATAGTACCCGGGGTCTTATTCAAAATCTTGACTTTTAAAATTGATTAGTACCGGGTACTATTCAATGATCCAATGATTTCATTAGTGGAGAAGGGGACTTTATGTGGTAGGATACTATTTTTGAGGAATACTATAAGCAGTGCTATACAGTAAATACCCAATTCTTACATAATATTGTGATTTGCAGATATTATCGTTGTCTTTCTGCAATTAAAGTTTTTTAGAATATATGTCACATAACAACATAATTGCTATGTTGTGCAGCAGCCTAATTATGAGATTGAAGCAACTATCATATGAAAATAACTACTCAATTTGTAAACTAATCGATTAGTTGCCAACTTGATCAACTAATCAATTAATTGATTTCTGATTTGGGACATTACCTGCCAATTCTCAATTCATTCAAAAAGACTGAAAAATCTAAATCTCGAAGCACAATGTCCACAAGAAGGTACACTTCACCATCAAGCTGTCAACCTGGCCGCCCCCTCATATATACATATTTCAGCTTGTGGTGAAATGCTTCAATAAGATTATTCGTATCTATCATATCTCTTGCAGTTCCTCTTGCACAGATCATCCACTTATCATAGCTCGGTTTCTACCAACGTTCGAAATAATCAGCGAAGTCTTTTACTACTTTGATATTCATTTCTCTCCATTTATTAATTGTCGCTACAACTTTTACCTGTGCCTCCGCATCATTCCATCCTTCTGTCTTCATCAAATACAAAAGGTCTTGCCAAACAACTGCCTTGTGTGGATCACCATCTTTGCTATTCAATTTTCGATGCCAAGATCGTAGAACGTGGAAGTGGCACAGCAACACAGTACAATCAGAAAAGGATTCTTCAGCTGCTTTTATTTCTTCTCTCACATCGTCAACCATAAAGATATCTGGACTCCATTCATCATTATGTTCAAGTCGCAAAAATTCAAACCATCGTTTTAGTGTTATCATTCGCTTGAACTTGCTGATAAGGAATGCAACTGGATATCCACTTCCTGTTGCCAGGTGTCTAATAAGAATGGTAAAGAGGTGATACCCATGATGATTCATACCATGTGTACCATCCAAACATACTACCCTTGCAAATTGTGTTAATTCCTTTTGTGCTTTTGTTTGAAAAGCAAATAGGAAACCGGTATTACTACTCTCACCATTGCCGCAATCAAATAAACAACAGTCGCCCATATTTATTATTTTTTCTCTCCATTTTTTTAAAGACCGCAGCTCATTATTATCAAGGTAAGAGCATGTTTTTATTACATCGTACACAATTTTGTAAATATCATCTCTAGTAATCAGACCATCCCGTAATTTCTGAACATTTTGTGAATGCCCTGTTTCTAACATCCTTACCTACAATGTTTAAAAATTCAAAATTTAAAACATGCTTATAGGGCATCTTCTTAGGTGAAGTTCAAAAAAAAAAAAGATCAACATTGATTTTAGGTTATGCAAAATTGATTATTTTTGTAACGATTGGGTCAAAATTTTAAAAACTCTTACAGCTATTTTCATAATTCCTAGGACACTTGTAAAAAATTAGCCAAATGATTTTTCGGTCGACTGGGGTAAGTTATTATTTCGGCATAATAGATTCAATAAAAACTGGTACGTATGTATGTATGTACTAATTTTTATTGAATCTATTATGCTGAAATAATAACTTAACTGGATCGACTGAAAAATCATTTGGCTAATTTTTTACAAGTGTCCTAGGAATTATGAAAACAGCTGTAAAATAATTTTTTTATGTTTTAACAAATGGGTAAGTTTTAAAATAGCCGGCCGGATTTGTTTAAAGAAATTAAATTTGTGTTCTTATTTTTAAATTTTAATTTTTTTAATTTTTTTAATATAAGGAAGTTAATTTTATTTAAAATCAAACAATTTGGTTAATGTTCTCAAATAGAGAACATATTTTAATAATATATGATCACAAAAACCGTGTAATTTTCTTTGAGAACACTAAGTGTATCAAATTTTAAACACTGTTTACCTGGTCTTGCAGTTCAATTGCACGATGACGCAGAAGCCGTTGTATACTAAAGGTGTCAAGCCCTTCGAAAGCACATTGTCGAATGAATTTGCGGATATTATTGGAAAGAGGGAGTGTATATAAGTCAGATAATCGGCCGGGGTAGTGATTAACATGTTTATAATAATGTTTTAGGATCACAGTTGGTGAATTTACAGGAAGCATGACATATATGGAGCTCTTGCAGCCACATTTTTTGGACTCTTTTTGTGCTATTCAGGATTTTTTATTGGGATCTTTCCCCACAACACTCTGATATGTACCATAGCGATGGCAATACCATCGCTCAGTCCATTGATATTTTTTTTTCCTACCTCCATGCACTTGTCTGTCGTGCCGATAATAATTAAGTCCTGACCTTTCTAGGTTGTTTATCCATTTTACATATTCACTAACCGAAATATGATATGTTTTAGATCTCTCATTTCTCTCATTCTCT